CTGGTGGTCACCACTGGAGTCCTGAACCCGGAAGTGTGCCTGAGATGGAGAGGCTGTGCAACAGTTACTGAACGAATGAATGGGTGATCGAATGAACAAATGAACAGAGGCAGTATGCTTAAACTGAGTAGGGACTGGGCAGTGGGGTGGCGTACGTGACAGAGCACTGCATCAGGGTCAGAAGACTCAGCTCAAGTCCCTGTCCTTCCCACAGCCGGTGGGGCACACGCCTTGGCTACAGCCCTCAGATACAAGATGAGGGGTTTGAAGGAAGCGGCCCTGGCTCTTCCAAGAACAAAGCTGGAGGATTCAAGCCACACGTGGTCTTGCCCGAGCCTGACCTGCCGTACACGAAGACTCGGGGTCAGTCAAACTGAACGGTTCGCTCTCTTATTCCAAACGCACCCAGCACTTCCTCTTCCGCAGCACTTTCCTCACATCCCCCCTTCTCACCCCCAGCACTGAGAAAGCACGAGAAACGCTCAACCTAGGAGATGATGGACAAGGATAAAGAACCCCCAGGCTCCAGTGAGCCCTCCTCCTTTCTCTGAAGCCATCACCACATGAAAATGGTGCCTGGCGACCATCACTGTCTCCATTTTATGTGTCTCCCATCTCCCAGACAAACTTGGTCTCCATCCACCATCCCAGCACACAGGAGGCCAAGAATCTGTAACTATTACTTCATTTTACTGGATTTGAATGGGAATAACTGAACTCAGGAAAATTTAGCTCTGCTTTTATGCCATCAGATTAATTTTACTGAATTTACTGGAAAGGCAGCCAATTAGCGAAAGGACCCAGGCTAGAAGCAGCTCACCGGGCTCACCCGGTGACCTTTAACATGTCACTTGACCCAACGGTTTATGCACTAGAACCTACCAGAGGTTAAACACAGTTTCCACTTCCAAAATCAGAGCAAAAGGGAAGAAAAGGAAACAGAGATTTCCAAACATCCGGGAGCTATTTTGGGAAATGAATGACTTTTCCATTCACTCCTCTTAAAAAAAAAAAAAAAGAAAAGAAAAGAAAGAAAGAAAGATATTAGACGGAGAACAAACCAAGAAGTGGCTGTTGATCATCTAAATGGAAGAAGATTCTTACAGAAGCCCACTCCTCATAGCCCGAAAAGCAAGACACTCCCCCATGTATACAGAGACTACCTATAATCTCAAAGAACGAAAAATGGAAAAAACATTATTTGCTTATCAGAAAGTTTATATAATCCCAAAATAGACTCTGCGGGGTAAATATAGTGAACCTCCTATTAATTAACACTGAATAAAGGTTCCAAGAAGGTAGCAATGATGCCATCTGGCCCTGTTATGTGGGGCTCCAACCTGGCAAATCCCGGAACCATGGATTGATTTCTCCTTAAAGCAACAGCCTGTTCAAAAGACTTTTAATATATCACAGAATTTCTCCATGTGGCGCAGGTCAAACCCCATCTCGTGAACAAATGGATCCCTAAAAGCTTTTGTTATGATATAATCTGGGCCTTCCACCATCATCCTGATCATTTAATACTCTGCTTTGATCTCAGATGTGACATGGTCCACCACTCAAACTGCTCAAGGTTGGCATTTCCAGTAATGTACAACCCCAACTGAGCTATCGGAAACAGAACACTAAGTTTCAACAGGTCAGTCCACCTATAGGTTAATATCAATACAACCCTGCAAGAAGCAGACATATACATGTCAAAGGCACTGAATTTTTCCAAAAGAGGCAAAAAAGTTCTTCCCATATTATCCACCTAAATGGTAAATACCTTTTTATAAAGTGGCCATTGAACTCTGAGTTGATGTATGTGGAACACATATGTGTCACTAATGTAAACCACACACAACTCACCCACAGAAGCTACCAGTCACAAAAACGGTGAATTAACTTTATTTTTAATCTTATTTATTTATTTATTTGGCCGCGCCATGCAGCACGTGGGATTCTTAGTTCCCTGACCAGGAATCAAACCCGTGCCCCCTACACTGGGAGCGAGGAGTCTTAATCACTGGACCACCAGGGAAGTCCCAACTTTACGTTTTTTAACAAAGTTTTTGGGTATGATTCCCAGAAAAGTAACTACAAAAATTATATGCACAGTACTGATCTGCAGAAATAGTGAATTTAAACCTAAGGTGGGTTCATACTCCAACTAAAGAAATTCTGTTTTGAAAATATTGAGATTTTTTTTTACACATCTGTAGCCACATCTGTAAAGATGTCTCCTCACGTTTGCAACCCCTTTGTCGTAACTTGAAAAAGAAAGTACAGCTACAATAATTCACCAACACACCCTGAGCTGGCAAGACCCAATGTTGTTAAATACAACATTGAATGGAATTACTATAAAACTCTACAAGAGTTTGTTTACAAACCTTGGCCCTCAGTGACCTTGCTTACGGCAGCATATTTTATGCTATTAGGTTTGATAAATTATATAGGAAATGATGTTTTCAGTCGGCAACAATTTTCGCCTAACTGACTATATTCATCTATTCCTCCATAATTTCATTTTCCTTAAAAACCTATTTCTTTGCCTCTCCTGATAGTTCTCCATTTGGAAGCTGTTTGGAGAAAGTCCTTTTTTTTTTTTTTTTTTGCGGTACGCGGGTCTCTCACTGTTGTGGCCTCTCCCGTTGCGGAGCACAGGCTCCGGACGCACAGGCTCAGCGGCCATGGCTCACGGGCCTAGCCGCCCGGCGGCATGTGGGATCCTCCCGGACCGGGACATGAACCCGTGTCCCCTGCATCGGCAGGCGGACTCCCAACCACTGTGCCACCAGGGAAGCCCAAAAGTCCTCATTTTTTGAATACTGCTTTCCAGTCGTGTGAATCAAATGCAACTCAAAAAGGGTTTAACTGTCAGATGCACATGGAGAAAATGCTGTGCTCTGACACACGGTTTTTTCCATATCATAAAAATCAATTACAACTTTAAAGGATAACCGGTCACCTATAAAAATCGGCAGGGTTCTGTTGTGAAAGAAGAATGACTATTACACCATTTACACCCTTCCGTAGACTCCACTTAAATGTCTGTGGCTCGCTGAGCATTCCATACATATTTCGGGCAAGGTATTATGGGAGCTGAAGTGCAAGCTGTCCCCTGCTGAATTTTCACTCACTATAAAAACAGTGTCTCATAAAAGCATACACGTTTTTACTTTACACAAAAATGTGAAATGTCCATTTTTGTTCACTCCACCGACAATTTTAGCATTAGAAACAGGGCTTTTTAAAAACCTGTAACATAAGTGATGTATGTCATTCAATAACAGATTTCTGGAAAGAGGAACACAGGAAATGTGTATGAAATACATGGAAAGGAAGATTCTACAAGCTGTCTTCTGTGGGGTCTGCTCACCTATGGCCTGGGTTGTACCATTAAAATGGAAACTCTTACATTTACACTTTTCATCATGAATCCACACTCCAATGTAACCACAACTGTTTTATATTACCCTCATAAAATGAGTCTTTGCCTTTTCTAAGCAAAACAGTATTTTTTAATTGGTTCACTTTCCAGTTGTTTGGATTTTTAACAGACATACAGCATAAAAGGGCACCACATTCCAAGCAGTTCTACCAACTCCAGAACCATCCAAGGCTTGATCAGACAGCTGTGGCTCTAGCCTTTGGTTAAAATTATAATATGATCTCACCTGATTTTCAAACTAACTATGCATCTTTTTAAGCCAATAAACTGTGCTACACTCTAAGTTTCTGAGTCCAGAAGCTTGCCATGTTCAAAGAGAACGTTAGAGAACCATGATCCTTTTGCCTTTCTTTGTTTTTCCCTATCTGAACCCAGAGAAATCTTCAAACAATAATTTAGCAGCTTCCCCTCCCCAAAGGTTTATTTTCAAACGCCAGTGCCATGCAGCGCTGCCTTTCCAGTGCAGGTAGGAGGAAGCAGGAGCCTGTCACCACGCTGGGCCTTTTCAAGTCTCAAAATCACTGGGAAGCTTGCAGTATTTCCTTTCTGGCACTCAGGCCCAGTGTGGAAAGAAATTGCTCCAGATAGGACAAGATATCAGATAATCACTGTAATCCCTAGGTTTCAACAGAATTCCAACTCCACAAAAAAATGCCTCTCCCCAAAAGCAGCTGAACCACTGAAACCAACAGACAATCGAACAAAAAGTTACCAAAGAAGTCATTACATGAACTTAATTAATCGTAATCTGGTGGTGCTTTTAGAAGCATCCGTTTTTCACTCCGTAGGATTTATTTACGTGAATAATAAGACAATTTAATACTCTACTCGGATCTTGCACAAAAAGGAAACCTAAAATTCAACTCTTGTTTTCCCTTTATTCCAAAAGCATATGGGTCTAATCATAGCCCATTCTGACCGCAGTACACAGGCTTTTTCGATCAGAATTTTAACTCAATTTTTAAGGCGCTAAAGAGTAACCGTCACAAGTTTGATGGTTACTCCAAAGAATCGGGAATCCCTGAAGTGTCCCATCTGGCACAGTCTTCGAATGGAAACTAGGTTCAGCCCGCCAGACAAGGAACCCACACCACGAGGCTGGGGCGCACGTTTGTGCTCCAAGATGACAGCTCATCTGGCCACCGCGAGGTCGGGGGCGCCTGTAGGGCCATAGCCGGGTGGCGGTGGGCCGCGGAGGCCCGACAGGGATGGGCGAGACCGCGGAGGAAAAAGGAAGAGAGGGCCATCCGTCAGCCCCCTGGAGAGGAAATTCCAGGCGTCCAGCTCCCAGGCGTCGGTCAGCGGGTGCCGTGAGGGAACCAAGTCAGAGTGTCCGCCCCGCGGTGGAGGCCGGGGATTCCGCACTCCTGGGGCTCCAGGCCGGGAGAGGGAGCCTCGATCCTCGGCCAGGGTTCCGGGGATGGGGGCGCCCGGATCCTCGCCGGGGGCGGAGGACTCACGATCTTCGCCCACACCCGGAGGCCTCCCGGGTCCTCGATCCTCTCCCTGGGCCCAAGGTATGGGGCGCCCTAATCCTGGCCGGGGCCCGCGCCCCCCTTACCGGTCGCGGGGGTCGATCCACGACGTCTGGCGCGTGTTGTGGTCGATGTAGAAGACGCGGCCGTCGTAGTCGCGCGCCTCCTCCCAGCCGGCGGGCAGCGGCAGCTCGGCGCTCTCCCGAGCCCGTGGGGGTGGCGGCGCGGAGGGCGCGGGGGGCGCGGGGGCCGCGGCGGGGGGCGCGGG